AATTTGTCGTAATTATCTCACTTCAACAAGCATAGATGTGATGCATTGTTGTTTTGAAGGTTGCATTAAACGTCTCGGTCATCTCTGGTTTGATTCAAAATTTGCTGGCGCTAAATTTTCCATACATCATTTGATTGCCGTAGTAGATTTCAGATTATGTTCGATACGACCACCTTTTTTTGTTTCGCATCGACCAAGGCCAATTAAAACACATTTCTCATACTGGAAAGCATCTGAATTGAAAAATTGGGGGTTGTATTATTTACTGCCGGTTTTGTGTGGTCTATTACCACATGAATATTTAAGCCATTACATGTATTTTTGGTTAGGGCTTTATTTACTATGTCGAGATAAAGTAATGGACCAAATGATAGACCTGGCTGATGAGTGTTTTGATAAGTTCATTGGAGATTTTGAAAATTTATACGGCTTAAAGTTCATGACTTGTAATTTTCACAATTTGAGACATTTAGCATTGACGGTTCGCAGATTTGGTCCGCTGTTTACCACTACGTGTTTCCCTCTCGAAGATTTGAACGGAAAATTGAAAAGAATGGTTCGAAGTAGTAATGCCCCTCATTTGCAAATTATTTACAACTTGAGTATTCATATGGCAGTATATACATATAAAAATGAACGATTAAAGGATAACGAAAAAGCAATCAAATTCTGTGAATCTATCTTATCGCCTACAAGAAAATTTAAACTAACCAAAATTGGAAATAACATATTTTTAGCTAGTAAATCCTATAAAAAAATACCTGAATGTCTAGTTGAACTGATAGTCAATAATCACGGGTGTGAGAAAAATATTTTCATATTTTCAAAGGCATATATAAATATTCAACATAAATAATATGTTGTATACATCTGAAGAAAACCAAAAAGACAAAAAGACAGACTCGTCTTATATCAAGTATGAATTTAATAATTATCAAAAATTTGGAATAACACAATATTTCGTACGAGTTACAACTTGCAATTGTAGGAAAATGTGTGATTGTCAGGGTGAATATTATGCAATCATAAAAAAATAGAAGTTATAAACCCATTCTCAATCAACTTACCATCAGGTATACTATCGTCATTGTACTTACAAGCTAAAGTTTATTCACGATTGGATATTATTGATATTAAATACTTGAAAAGTGTTTGTTATCATGTGAGAATCGAACACGAAAATCGCGATTACATCATAGAACCTGTTAATAATCTTGAAAATGAATAAATATCTGTTTATATCAGTACAATATTTCACTAAATACCCGCGTAAAAATAGTAACCATTGCCAATATATTGCGCATAAATTGGCAATACATATTACAAATATATTGGAATCATTTTGGAACCATATTGGCAATTGTTGTTATAAACCTATTGGCAATTGTGCGCTCGAGGTATATTAACAATATTTTGCCAATAGTTGCAAAATGACCCGATTTTCGCAACTATTGGTAACATATTGCCAATAGTTGCTAAATTAATCGTATTTTCGCAACTATTGGTAACATACTGCCAATAGTTACATTTTTAAATAGATTTGTAATATTTCTACAGTATATTGGAAATATATCCAAATAATAATTTATTATGTCGGCAATTTTTTTATTATCAAGTTTTTTATTATCAACAACACAGATATATAATACACACCGATGTAAAAAAACAGATATATAATACACAACGATATAACAACAATACTACAACGATATAAATATTTGCCTACGCATTTGCTTTCAATAGCAATAATTGTGTGAACTTTTTCAAATTATAAACTGCTATATAAATGAAAACTATTCATTTTCGATATTATTAATCGGTTCCACTATATAATCAGAATTTGTATTTTCAATTCTGACGTGATGGCATACACATTTTAAATTTTCTATTTCGACTATTTTATAACTGCCTTGAATTTTAATATACTGATGAACGAATGACAAAACTGCCTCTGATAAATCTACTGAAAAAGGATTTATAGTTTTCAATTTTTTCAAAATTACAAAATGTTTCCCAGAACAGGTACATAGTATTTTGCATTTACAGTTGGTAACTCGTACAAAATTTTGAATAACGCCAAATTTCTGTAAATCATTCGAACCATATTTCACATAAAATGATTCAGTTTTATTATTACTATCAATTTTCTGACAAGAATAAATTATTTTCCCCTTACATAATTTCGAAAAGACGAATACGTTTTTGTCTACCCATTTGTCAAAAATAATTTGATGCATGTACTCAGGTATATTTTTCAATATATTACCTACTATAAAAGCGTCATTTCCAATTGGAGTTAATTTGAGTTTTCTCGTCGGCGACAATATTTTTTCGCAAAGTTCGTAAGCTTCACTATTACCTTTAAGCCATTTATTTTTAAAAGGATAAACTGCTAAGTGCATACTCAAATTAGAAATTATTTGCAAATGAGGAGAATTACTACCTCTGACCATGTCCTTCAGCTTTCCATTTAAATCTTCCAGTGGAAAACATGAGGTTGTAAAAAGAGGTCCGAAACGTCGAACCATCAGAGGTAAGTGTCTTAATAAATGTGTATTACATGTCAATAACTTATTACCATATAGATTATTAATTTTTTCAGTGAAATTTTCAAAAGATTTATCAGATAAATTAATCATTGAATCAGTAATATTTTCTTGACAGAGTAATTCAAGCCCCAATACAAGGTACATATAATGATTGAAATATTCTGTAGGTAAAATGCCATATAAAACCGGTAATGAATAGTAAAATGCCCAATTTTTAAGTTCTGAGGCTTTCCAGTAACAGGAGTGACTTTAATTGGTCTTGGTCGTCTTGGTACTGAAGCAGGTGGTTTGATTGAGCACAATCGATTGTCGACTACATCAACTAAATTATAGAAAGAAAATATTTCTGTAGCAAATTTTTTATCAAACCATAATACAAGCAACCGTTTTACGACGCCTTCAAAAGCACAATGCATGACATCTATTGCGGTGGATTTTATATATTTATAACTGATTTTAGATAATATTGTTGGACCTTTTACACCACACACCGGCACATTCATCTCAACAGCAGCAATTGCGTTATTTATCGTGTGTGTATTAGTTCGAAGATGAAAATTTTTTCTATGAGGGTATATTCGCATTCGTCCATCATTCTCACCTGCTTCTAAACATACTTGGCATCCAAATCTACCATTATATTATGTCATAGACAGAAAAAGAGCTTTCGCCGGCAAATCGGCTGTTCCACAGCATACTATTCCTCTAATATCAATATAATTTTCCAAATCTTTTACATAAAATTTAGCCCCTTTATACAATTTCCTAAGTGGTTCTATGAAAGGTTCCAAAAATAAATTCGGATTAGGTTTTTTTTCGCCAAACCATATACCAACCAATAAAACATTTTCAATTTTGTAACGTAAATAATAAGGCAATTCCAATATTATTAAAACAAAACCCCAAATACTGAATTTTGAAGATTTAAAAATTTTTATACCGTCCGTATACCACTGAAAAGATAAATTATTTTTGTTTGACAGAATTTGATTATCCTGGCTCAGCTCTTTATATATATTTCCGTCATAAACGTCTTTATATTGGCCATTTGGTACCGAACGGTTAGATTTATTTAGGCTATTATAGAAATTGTCGCGTTCGTACAAATTTTGTAGTTGTGAAATAATTGGAATTTCTATGAAATAATTGTCAGGTACACCGTCATTACATGTGCAATATTGATTCGCATTCAGAGCTTCGTCAAATTCTATCGATTCGTCATTATCTACATCATTATCATCAGTGTTAATTAGCGGTGCTTGACATTTTACGCAATAATGATGCTTTTTAAATTCAGTGAAACCTTCTCTAAAATATTTTTCGAATTGGTAGTAGGAACTCGGGCAATTGTGTGGTTTAATACAACATAGTGCAACTAATTTTAATATATCTAAAACGCAAACCTTACTCAAGTGATGTCGCAATTTAATAGAGGCTAAACAAATAACGAACGCAATTAGAGTGATCGATGATCCAGGGAATAATTTATCTTGATGACAAGCTTGTTAGTTAGGTTCCTGCTTATGCTCCTCGTCACTTTTTGTACTATTGCTTTCATCGTCACTAAATTCATTATCTTGATTATCGTCACTTTCGTAATTTTCTATTGAAAAATTGTAACTTCTGAATATTAGCTTTGAAACGTTTTAATTTAAAAACGACATAGAAATATGCATATAAAAGTGTACTTTACCGTAATTAAATTTGGTATCTGTTTTTATCGTTTCATCCTCATCAATTTCCATTTCAGAATAGCAGCCATTTACATTTCCAACAAAACAATTTTCGTGTTCAGAATCACAATTACGCTTTACCTTAATAATAACATATTTATTTTTTTAAATACCTTTGTTTGAATAAATAAATTATCTACTTACATTACACGACAATGTTCGTTCACCTTCTAGAGTTCCCTCATTGTAATCACTTTTTATAAACTTCTCTAAACGATATTGCATTATCTGAGAGTATTTTTTTAAATCACTTGGTAAACTTTTCTTCATTTTTACGAATAGAATATTGAATACTATTATTTGTAAATAGCGAACTAACCACAATATGTAAAATTCGATCTTATCGTTCTAACTTCTATTGACGCTGAAAGATCTGATTTCAATTATTATCGAAATTAGCTAACGTCAAATCATATTAGTTGAAAGAAGGATATGTAATCAATAGACTATTTATATAACCTTCATTAACTATGGTAGTGTACGCATTAGTGTTATGGACGGATTATAATACTACAAGTGTAGTTAGCACCGAACAATTGTTGCCAGAAAAAGAAGAGGGCGAGAATACTATGGTGCGATATGATAACGGGATTTCATAAGCAGCTAAAATCGTCAGAAAAAGCGGTACATATTTTAGTAATTTAAATTAAAACATTTTTTATTGCAGAAAATGTATTGAAAATTCCATTCTAATTTAGCCGACGAAACATATTTGTATATGTTGCCGGTAACCACTGACGGAGAAGTGCTGACGAAAGGTAAAAATTACGATAAACAGCTAGCTGTTTCGGAGAAAAATTTCTTGAAGGAAAAAGAAAAATTTGAAAAAAAGAAGCAAGAGTTGAAAAAGAATAAGATTAATAATCGATTATTAAAAACGAAGACCATTTTCGATGAAAGCTCCGAAGAAGAATTGGATACTCAATTCACCGCGTCGAGCGAAATTAACGAGGTAAAATGCGATTTATTGAACGCATGATCTTTTTTTTATTTTTAATTTTTTTTTTGTATTTTTAAGATACCATCTGATCAGACAAAAAAAACAAACAACAACGTATCTGATCGTCCAAAACGCAAAAAAGAAAAGCATCGTGATAGTAACTATGAATGGGATTTACCAAGTGTCACTAAAAAAGTAAGATATTATCACCAATATTCAGCTATAATTATGCTTGTTTTCATTAAGTTGTTGCTTATAAGGGTTCACAGGCTTCTATGAAAAAAGAACGACAAAGAGAGCGAAAGCAAAAGCTTGACCAGGAGAGAGAGCGAGATCAACGGCTAGACCAGGTGCAAGCAAAAGAGCGAGATAAAGACCAAGACGTTGATTTTTGTTATTTCAGTGATGATAACGTAAGTCAGTTCGATTTGGAAAAGGATAGACAAAGTAATTCAGAGCTGGCCAACGAGCGAGAGATTGATAAAGAACTAGAGAGAGAGATTGACCAAAAACGAGAGCGAAAGCGACAGAGAGAGCGAGAGCTAGAGCGAGAGAGAGAGCGAGAATGAAATCGAGACAGAGAGCTGGACCGTCAACGAGGTCAAGAGCTGGACCAGGAGCGAGAGCTAGAACGAGAACGAGCCAGGGAGCTGGACCGACAACAAGATCAAGAGCTTGACCAGGAGCTAGAGGAGGAAGATCGACTGAAAGAATGCCGAAGATATAGAAGAGGAAAAGTACAAATTTGCGAAGACTTTGAGAACATCTGGATAGACAAATCAGAGTTGACTTGTCTATATAGATGGAAAAACAAACCGAAAGAAATGGCACGGCGTCTGTTGAGAATTCTTGTTGGCAACAAAAATTTAAAAAATATGTGCGCTAGGGGAAGATCAACAAAGAATAAACCGATTCCGGAGGATATTGTTGCATGTATTGAATGTGAGTAAAACATTTATTATACTAAAATTTGTACTAATATATTGGTTGATTGCATATAACTAATGACACTTTCGTCTATTCCAGACTATGTTAACAAAAAGTGCCCAGATGGACTTACTCCCGCAGCGTTCACTACAGTCGCGAATTATATGATCGGGTCATTACGCCATCCTAAATTATAATCATGTAAAAATATTTTTTTAATAGATTTATCATAGGGAGTTTTGTCATTCGTAAAAAATGTATTAAATTCCAATCGTTGTTTTATATATCTCTCATATAATTGAAATTGGCTCTCAATAAAATAATAAATAAAAAAATTGCCTATTATTATTTGGATATATTTGCAATATACTATAGAAATATTGCAAATCTATTTAAAACTGCAACTATTGGCAATATGTTACCAATAGTTGCGAAAATCGGGTCATTTTGCAACTATTGGCAAAATATTGTTAGTATACCTCGAGCGCACAATTGCCAATAGGTTTATAACAACAATTGCCAATATGGTTCCAAAATGATTCCAATATATTTGTAATATGTATTGCCAATTTATGCGCAATATATTGGCAATGGTTACTATTTTTACACGGGTATATTCAAGTTTTACTCAAAGTATAAATGTTGTAGTTTTATATGTAAACAAATATAAGTTTAATATGAAATAAAAATTTGTTAAAGTCATCGTTGTATGTCACTGTGTCATTGAGCGATTATTATATAAAATATTGTCAACGAATTGCCAAAGCATTGGCCAGCAATTTTGATATAAACCATTGCCAATGGATTGCCAAAGCATTGGTAGATAATATTCATATGAACTATTGGCAACATATTGCCAACGCATTAGGGAAACATTGTAATAAAAAAATATATAAACTATTACCGATACATTGCCAATAGCATCAAAAATTAAGGCTCACTTAGGAACCATTGGCAACATATTGCTAATCGTAGTCAAGGCAGCTGTTGGCAATTGTATTCCCATAGCTATCGCCAATATATTCCCAATACATCTGCGATACTTTTTGCCAATATATGCGAGATACATTGCCAATACTTTTTATTTTCACGTGGGTTGACAATCCTGTTTCAAACTAAATCTAAATCCCTCAAGAACCCACTCTTACGAATTGTTTATCAAAATGTATAATACCGGGTAAAGAGACATTAAAGTATATTGACCTAATGCAAAAAACTAGAATCAAAACGGATTTGTGGGTGTAGGATTCAAAGTGGGATTGATTGGGATATGAAAAAATTGAATTGGATTGAAATAGATTGCTAATCCAATTTTGAACTAAATCTGAATCCCACAAGAATCTATTCAAACGAATTGCTTCTCAAAATGTACTAGTTCAATAAATTTTCAATGTTATTAGTGGGATTATAAATCGACTTAAAATGGATTGAATTTTGCCGAATCTGAATCAATGTTTCTTTTTTAGCAGGATTGTTTGTCAATCATCTCTATTCCTCCTATATTTTTATTATAATCAATTATACACGATAATTTCATTTTCTTTTCTCCAGTCTTACAATCTCTTTTCCCTGTTTCTAAATAAGTCAAATTCATACACTGAAGTCATCATGTACACTTCTTTTTTATCTTAACATTTTATAACCATCTAGATAATGTTATATGTAAGTTGAACTTTTCCCTTTTCAAGTTTCGAATCCAAGCATGGTAATCCTTTTCTGTTTTTCTTCATCGTACCGAATGAGCCTCTGTCTTTATCGTGCAAAAATTCAGCCAATTTCGGAGAGGAATACCAATTATCAATGTAAAAAGTATGATCTTAGTTGAAATAAGATCTTATCATATGAGCAACAATATTACCTGAAATACCTAAATCGAACTTCTCAAAATCAGTATTTACCTTTGTGTAAATGATGAAGTCCAAGATTATTCCGTGCTCAAAATCAACAAGTTAGAATAATTTTATACCACATGGTGACGTTTCAAAGATAGATATTATTTGAAAGATAGTCGACCTTTCCACAAAATAAAACTTTCATCGGTGCATAATTTTTCAGCTGGATATATAATGGTCACAAACTTTGCTTTCAAATGATCTATAACCGATTTTAATTTTTTTCAATAGATGATCAGAAGTAACATTATTATCTGTGAAATGTAAAAAACGTAAAATTTTGACGATAACGATTGCAAGTCATTGATTTTGAAAATATGGGAGTTGATGATATTGGAAAAGTACTCCAATAAACTTCGAGCTTCCTTTTTCTAACGTCCTATAAGAATAGACAGAGCTAAAAATATCATAAGTTCTTCTTTTTCTATAAATCTTTCCATTTACTCATGTTTACCTGTTCTTGTTTAGAGTTTTGATTTTGAAATCGATTTGTTGCTTCGTATATAATTTTTAGAACTTCATCGAAAAAATTTCAAAATAATGAATAGGTCATTCTCATTTCTGATGACGATATAAATTGTTTTATAGAATGAAAAAAAGAATTTTCGTAAATTATTTCTCAACCGGGAATGTACTCTAATTCATTGGTATCGATTTCAATAATTTCATCAGAATGAGATTCAATTTCTGGTTCTGACTCTTTACTGCTAATTGGCATGTTTAGAGAAATAAGTGATGGATGATCTCGACAAATAAGAGAGTTATTAAATAAAAGTACTTTTACAGTACCAATAAATTATAATAATTGATCGTGTTTGACTAGTATAACAGTAACACAACTATTTTAGGTTCAACTTGTTACTGCAATGAATCAAATTATATAAATCAATGAGCTACTTTAGATGTGAATATAGATTTCAGGATTCTCACCATCTAACGGTGATTTTTGCTACTTTAGATGAATATAGTAAAATACGTTGATATTGTTCAGCCAAACGAAAAAAATTTGTTAGAAAAAAAAAAAGAAACTCAAATGTCGGTTGATGGCGCCCTCGATAATGTTGATCAGATAAAACATATACAATATTAAAAACTCAAAAAAATAATACAATTGAATATATTTTTTTTCATTTTGAAAATCTTAACATTCTAGCCGGGAATCATCTCTAGGCGTGAGAGATCTAACTCATCGACATCTTAACTTAATCTGGCCCTAACTTAGGTAGCTTAGACCACATTTCTATAGAAAAATGTAATTTGTAAATTTTTCATAATTCCGACGCTCTAAAGTGAACATCTATGCAATTGATTGCAAAAATGAATGAGGTAATGACGAGGGAAATAATAATTTTCATTTTGAGACCTTTCCCGCAAAAATTCAACAACAAATCATCAAAATAATAGCTATTCAATAGGTAATCAGAAAATTGGAATTTTTCCGTATTTCCCGGTAAGTAATCGTAAAAGTAAAATTAACACTGATATCAAAGACAATTAGAGCAATTAATGCTGTTTTCCCTTTTTCGCTACTAATTTCCCTTGAAAATGAGGGAGGCCAACTTCGCAGATCTTCACTCGGGTGAAAACGTCCACCAAGGCTAGAGTTACTTTCTTGCAGTATATAGTATCAAAATGTCCTATATTTCCACATGATGTATGTTATAATAGTTATTAGTAAATGGAATCTTTAAAATATATAGCAGCGGCCAGAATGAAATATTTTTAACTTAAACAAAATAAATATATTTATATCTTATACAATGAGGTTAAATTAGTTTTATAAAAAGTATTGTCAAGTAATAAATGAAAATTGACTTATGAGCCTTTATCTGAAGAAACAATAACATTGAAGTACTTGATTATGCCAAATGATCTTTGTATTTATTTTATAGTACATAGCCTTATTCCATTTGAAATCGAGTACAACGTACATTTGAAACGCTAGTTCCAGCCACAGTAATTTTAGAAAAGTTAATCCTATTTTTACACCTGCTATCTAAATTTTATCATACGTTATTAAAATGTCGGTATTAAAACATTATTTTTATTGTATAATACTAACTGATCTCTCCATTGTCCGTTTTCATAGCATTATTAGCTATTATCAATCATGAACAAATAGAAATGAAGATATCACATATTGGTAACGCATCATGCAGCTTGTAAATCTAAACGTGTATATCCATCAAAATTATTTGTAAGTAACATATCAATACAAATCTAACAATGTTTCGATGGCGCTTTCTTTGTACAAATATTTTTGTACTGCAGTCTTTACAATAACTTTTTTTTGTGTTTTATTGAATTCTATGAGTAAGGATTCGAAAGCTGAAAAAATGCAAAAACTAAAAGATAGTTTTTGATCGACGTCGAAATGAATTATGCCAATTTTACTATAACAAACGTAATCGGTAATTATCAAGAACTTTTTACAAGATGCAAATAAATGAATTACATATTTTATCTAAGACTTTAGATGAAGAAAAGTCTTTGCTATGAAAAAAAATCAATGCCATAAAATCATTTATTATTTTTCGTAATATATTGTAAAGTAAAATGATTTTTTTCTTGATATGGTATATCAATATGATGGCCACCAATAATACATTTATTACCGTTAATTAACGAAGAGCTTGTATTTCTTATGTGTTCTAATTAATTAATGGTTTATACACTTCCATTTTTCATGTAGCACATTCTTCAGAGAATTATATCAGTATCCCATTTCATAACAATTGATAAATTATCAAACGCCAAAAAAACAAATATTACATATATAGAACAAATAATAGTAGAATCAATTAAAAATTAAGAATGTTATGGAAAATGTAATTATTATAAGAAATACTCTACCGACAGAAAATAATTACTTATCTATATTAATTTATTTGTCAATATAATAAAGCGTGTCATTTTTAATTCGTAATTATATCTTCGCCAACACATTCTCAATTCTAACATGATTTGATGGTAACATAGAAATGTGCCTCTGATATTTTTCTCCATATTAATTAAAATTACGTTTCAAACAATATACACATGATACATTCAATTCTGTAATCTTATAACATTATAATGTCATTAATTCTGTACGTTTTTTCTATTCAATATTGTAAAATACCATGTAAAGAATATTATGGTGACTATTTCCTTTATTCTTTTTTTATTAAAAAAGTCATGAATAACTTTTGAAAATCAAATACGCATTCCATCTCAGTAATTATTTAATCGAATGTATGAACACAGATCATAGCTATAAATAACACGTAAAATATATAAATACATCATAATTTAGAAAACTAAGATGTATCGTGAAAATAAGATGACTTTACACAAATATTAATAGTGTTCCAAATTTATTGAGTAAGGCACACTTTAAATTCCTTCAACTAAATTTCTAATCTGTTGAACTAAGATTCACCATTCAGTGATCGAGTAAGCTTTCTCGATTTTAATGAAACTAAAGCAAGCGCAATTTTTTATTAACCATGAAGAATCTGACTGCACACAAATAATTCAATAAAAAATAGATCCGTCGTACTTTGGTAGTGACAGCCTATTCGTAACAAATTTTGTTTGTTATTGGAATGTGAATTTCAGAATAAGGAATTTAAAAAGTAATATTACTGAATCATATAGATTTTACCAAATAATTGTTATTAATAAGTTGTCTTTTATGATATCATCACACTAATCAGTAATTCTGAGATTTTCTACGCAATCAGTCTGTTTATAATAGCATTTTAAACGATTTAGATTATGATACTAATCATAATAACGCTAAAAATGATAGTAATAATCTCTGTATAGTCAATAAGTATTAGAGTTATTTTGTTAACTTTAATTCTAGAGAAAATGTAGTAGTGAATCATTTGTTTTGCATAGAATAGAAGTTCCATTTCATAGATATCGCAGAGTTAATAAAATCATTAGTAAAACCTCGAATATCTATAACTTCGTTTTTTGCATTTTAAAATTAATTTACTATAATTAAAAGTTAATTACAAAAACAGGTTCGTTTAATTTTTATACAAATAATTCTCTAGCTAAATATCTATGCATAGTAAACAGGTATGCTTTACAACTGAACATACTGTGATCCCGAGTACCAGAGCTTTATGGCAGCAAAATCACTAGAGGTTATATTACATTTAAAACTAGTATAAAATACGTTTGTCAAACTTTCCTTTTGCGCAATTTAGCTTGGGCTTCTTTTAAAAGAAGGTCAAAAGTATTTTCTTCCTCTGGTTTATAAATTGCTCCTCTATTTTCGTCCATCGATTCAACTGCTGCCCCATCTACAACAAAGATTGTCAAATTATTGATAAGTTTTATAAGTAAATATGTTACAAATAAAAACTTACCAAGGTCTGCGTATTTTACTTTACAGAAAGCACGCCGACCTCCAAAACACAAATCGTATCGAGGTAAAGTGGGATCGTCATTGCCATGTTCGACAGCTTTATAGGCGTCATTTTTATAAGCAAATGTAACAAAGCCATAATTATGTCTGAAAAAAATGGAAAATTTATGAATAACAAGCAAAGTAGATTGATGATGGATGCACGGTCATCTGCTTTGTAGTTACTACATATTCGAGGGTCATTCAAAAAGCTTACCCATGTTCCCTGAAATGTATACTGATATCCACTACGGGTCCGAAAATGTCGAATCTTCGTCGTAACTCTGCTTTAGTTATTCCGTCTTTGAGACGACCAACGTATATCACTCTGCGTTCTTCGACTTGTCGCTGCTTTTCTCTAACAAACCATTCGTCGTAGGGTTTTCTGCAATAAAAATAACAAATCAAGTGATTAGAAGTAGTTGCTGTGCAAAGAAAACTTTGATATGCGTCCCGGCTACGAATTGGTCACCAAACAGCAATAGCATCAGAATAATGCTGGAAATAGTTTGCTTGAATTTCAGAGAATAAAGGCAATAGTTTATTGGGTATTGGGTTCATTGCTGCTGATCTGTGAGGGACTTTGGAGAATCAACTGAAATGACGCAAAAAGTAGGGAGAGAACATAGAGCCCAGTGTGTCAGTAGAGAATGTCTTGTTTTACCTCTTGTAACCAGTATATCCACGATTATTAGCAGGAGAATGGCCTCCGTATCCATCGGAATGAGAATCTGGATATCCTCTTCCTCGCCTTGTCGACGACAAAATACGCCCGTAATTGGAACGAGAAGGGGACCTACAACCGTCAGTTCATAACGTCAGATCAGATAGTAAAGCGTCTGCATCTGCGTGTTTTTGGACAACTCTCCGAATAACAACAAAATTGTATTGGCTCGAACGAGCTCAATTCAGTTCGCTAAGACCAAGCAGTAGAAAGTAGAAATGCGTTCTGCTTCGGGGAGAGAGGAAGACCAGCGGGCAAATGTTACGGGTTGAGTCGGCGCGAGTCGGAGCAGACGGTAGCTCTCGAAGAGGACCCAGAGTAGATAATTAGTCTAGGTAGTTGTGCTGAGCAGCGGATCGTTACCTGGAGCAGCTGGAGTAACGAGAGGACCTGGATCTGCAGCTGGAGCGCGAAGAAGATCTGTAGCGTGGTGAACAGCTAGACCTGGATTTGGATTTGGATCCGAGTCTAGGCCTGGAGCGAGAGCGGCAGCTAGAACGGGAACTAGACGACCAGCTGCTACTGGAGCTCACGGAGCTCCGCCGGTGGCTGATGCGTCTTCGTCTGGCGTAGGGTCTACCTCTTCTAGAGTCGGTGCTTCTGCTCCTACTGCTGCTCCTGCTTCGTGCACGCGACTGACGACCCCGTCCTCGGCTACAACCACGGCTGTGGCTGCGACTGCGACTGCGGCTGCGACTGCAACTGCGACTGTGACTGCGACTGAGACTGTGACTGCGACGGCGACTGCAACTGCGATTACGACTACGACTGCGACTGCAACTGCGACTGCGAATGCGACTGCGACTGTGACTGTGACTGCGACTGCGACTGCGACTGCGACTGCGACTGCGACTGCGACTGCGACTGCGACTGTGACTGCGACTGCAACTGCGACTGCGACCGCGGTTACGGTTACGGCTACAGCTACGACTTCGGCTACAGCTACGGCTACGGCTTCGGCTTCGGCTTCGGCTTCGGCTTCGGCTTCGGCTTCGGCTTCGGCTTCGGCTTCGGCTTCGGCTTCGGCTTCGGCTTCGGCTACGGCTGCGGTTACGGTTACGGCTACGGCTACGGCTGCGGCTACGGCTACGGCTGCGACTGCGGCTGCGGCTGCGGCTGCGGTGTCGAACGTCCCGTCGAGCAGAGATTTGGTTACGGCTGCGGCTATCCGCCGAGGAGCTGGAGGAAGCGCGGCCTTGAGCACGTCTGTAGTTGCGGCTCTTACATGACTGTCGGGCAGTTTCGAGGCTACAAATGGTTGTGAAAGGATCAGAAAATGTAGCTTGAGGCTCATATCTGAAGGGACAAACAGTGAACACCTACCTCGGTGGCAATCGCTCGCCGACGACCTTTGCTTGTGATTGTGGCTTGTCGCCCTGGAGCACTGAGCCGGTAACCGAATTGCAAGCCTCTCCGGTGTAGAGCCCGAAGACGGATTGGGCGGTCTGGGTGGTTTTGTCCTCGGTCGGTGCCTTAGGTCTGAGTTTCTCTTCTTCAAGTTCGCTTTTGGGCTTGAGCACCGATACGATTTCCCTGTCGCAGCACATGGCCTCGGTGCTGCTGGACGCGTGATGTACGTAGACCAGCGCCATCGGCTGCACCGGTGAGCTCGTACGACTGCCGTCACTACGGTTTTGCTCGAAGCGCCTGCTGCGGTACTCAGCCAGATTGAGCTTTCTGCGAACTGGCTGCTGCTGTTGCTTTTCCTGATCGTCCTTCTCCATTTCTGCTGTCACCTCGTCCTCGTGTTTGGTCTCGCTCGTCTGTACTATGATATTCTGCACCTGGCCGTTGGAACTGTTGGTCGTAGTGACGATTGACTCCACGAAGTTATTATCAACGAACTTCTGTTGCGGCTGCTGCTTCTTGAGCACCGATACCATATGCGGCTTACTGGTGAGGCCCTTTTTCTGCTGCTGAAGGATGCTCATTGCTAGGGCCGAGTGGATCTTGCTCTCGTGTCCCAAAGCCGTCGACGTTCTTTGTGCGACTGCCTGAGCTTTAGACACCATCGCCTTTGGCGTCTGCTCCTTATCAACGGAATTTACTTCAACTAATTCCAACCCACTGTCTTTTTTCGAGCCAGCATTCAACCACAGCTTCGCGGCTGCGATCCTGCCGCTGCTTGGCGTTGCGAAGGCTATAGCGAGTAGTCATTTTTTAATTTTACTTGCTCACATTTATCCTGGTGCTCTTTAAATATACTTACGATTGCCGTTACTGTCACTACTACTGCTGTTCATTATTAAGCTTAAATTGCCGCAGTAATCGTGATCCATCTGGACAGAGCCGTCGAGTCTTGCACTTGAATTACCGTTTCCACTTGCTACCTGAAATAGATATTTACATATTATGCAAGTTCCTCAAAACATTTTTCAGTTCCTAAATCGAGCTTATATTTCTGCAGGCTGTAATGCAATACATACCAACTTGAGTAATTTATTTCGGGAAAGAGTCGCAGCTGCTTCTTGCATTCTCGTTCCATTACCTTTTAAAACAGTCTTTTTATTAGGCATAGCAGGTATCACTGATATTGTTCTCTTGCATCCAGAAGCCTGGTAAAACACGTATCCAACAACGAGTATAAGAATTTTGAGATTGACAAATAAGTTTCTGTCTACATTGAACTTGAAATTACCTTTATTCTATCAATAACTTCCTTAGGTAGGGACTCTCGCATGCCTTGTTGCGGTTTAGAATCTTGGTTATTAACCGAGTTTTTCATCAAAGTATTTTCATTAGATTTTGCTAAATTCTTCTTTAAAGGGATTTTTGGCATTTGCGATATTTCAGGCATTCGGGGAGTGATTGACCTTGCCTCGGTGGCTTCAAATTGCTCCAAAAGACTTTTAACATCGCCAGCTTCTAATACTAGAGATAATAATCAAATTGTTTAATTTCAAGAGAATGATATTGCAAATGTAGAAATTATAAGTGAAGAATCAAGTAACCTGGAATTTTCTTTGAACTTCTATTGGAATTACTTGTTTCTTCGATAAATATTTTAGATTGTATTTCAATTTTTGATTTTTCCGAAACTTTTATGTTTACTTTGGAAATATTTCTACTTTTTTTATTTTTGCTTTTTGGTACATCTTTCTTACAGCTTTTTAGATTTTTCCTTTTACTGCTTTTTGAAAATTCTGCACTAATCATTGGTACAGGAGAGACTAAAGGCGTTTCATCTTCCATGTCAAGAGATTCCTCCTTAATAACTATATCGTCAAGTGATTTTTCTTTGACAACAGTTACTTGATTTCCTGTTTAACAAGTGAAAGAAAATACACGCTTACAATTTGAAAAAATTCAATATTTTTCTACTTATTAAAGATTGTAAAATGATTATTACTCTCAACATAAAAATTATTAGATGACTTAATACCTAGTAATTTTATCCCAAATTTGAAAATTTATGAAAATTTATAAATTAAATATTATACACTATAGAATATAAATAATGAAAATAATAGCAATAAGTTTAAGAGCATTTTGAAAATAATATAGATAAGAATCAATATTTTAGTTGGTCTAATTATTTTTTTCAAACTTTTGGTTTGTAATAATTGTTCAAATCAGAACAGTTTCATTAGTTGATAATAAAAGTGGAATCAATTTATTAAACTTGACATGAAATGAACACAAAGATTCAAGGTAGAAAACTTGCTTCATTCTCCTCTTAAGAAAAAAATAATAATGTTTTTAGGCAAAATGACAATAGCAAATCTGATTTAAAAAATTGAGACAACCAAATTTACAAATTAAAAATTAAAAATGATTAGATTAATTAAATTGGAAATAAAATACTTAAAAAGAATCTCTTTAGCATTCAAACAAACCTAAGCTTTTGTAATTGCATTCTTTTGATGGAGAAGTTGTATGTTGTATTCTGACATGTGTAAAGTCACTACTATGGTTTACATCCTCGACCAAATCTAGTCCTACAACATCTATGTAAAGGAGGAAAGGTTATTAATAAATATAAATGGTTTTAATCAGTATTATTTTAAAAATCTAACTAGTTTTTAGGTATTATTATAAGAATTAAAAAGTACTCTTATGTAAAGCAACTGAACAAGTTGATTATATAGACATTACAATTAGAGACACTTGTATTTTATTTGTTAGGCACAACTTACCTATTTCTTTTTCGCTTTGATCAGACTCAGAAGAATGGTTAATTCTATCAGCATTAAGTTCACACTTGATAGGATTGACCAGTATAGTATTAAAATTTTTTAATGACTCTTCGCTACTTTGTGGACTATCTGAAACATCATCTGGAGTATTTATTGTATCATTAAGAGAATCATCAACTATGTTCATATCAAATCCCATATCTAAATTAACCATGTCAATATCTTCTTCTAGTTCGGTGGACTAAAACAATTTTTGAATAGATTATTAAATTTACTTTCTCATCAAGTGACGTATCTCATATTAAATTATTATAAAATAGAAAAATAAATAATGTAATACGTGTAGAAATCCAACATGCTCTTGCCAATCAGTGAGTACTTTTGCAAAGTCCTCTTTGATATTATCAAACTTTGGAATGACTCCTGCCACTCCAGAAACTGGTAGTATAGCAAGATCTCCATTGAGTCTATATGATATAGATAATATTATTTTATTAGTAGTTAAGTTATTTTGAATAAATTCAGTGAAATTTAAAACAAAATTATAACTGTTATAATAACAGCTATAGTTATAATTACTTACTCTTGTTCCATTTCCCACTGATCATCATTGGAATCAAAATCTAAGTTTTCTATATAACCAAAATCATTATCTACCATGCGCACTAATGTATTTTGAGACTCTTCCAACAAATTATGCTAACAATAATAATTCGTAATTTAATATAATTAATCATTAGTAAATTAGAAAGAAAAGTAGATATATAGCTCAATAAAATAACATTATAAATACCTGATGATCCAAAGATAAAGAAAAGTCTGAAAAATGTTCTTCATCATGAAAATTGAGAAAACTAGCTTCCATGACACAATTTCAAATAATAAATTCCAATACTTGATCCAGTTTTCTAAAAGTAATGATTAATTTCTTTTTAATCTTATATTTTTAATTGGTTCTTGATACATTTAAATAAAGCTAACATACAGTTGTAAAAATACATTTTGTAATACATATGAATTATTAATATTGTAATCCATGTGAATTATTAAAAGATACAATGATTAAAGCCTTGGTTACATTGGACCGTTATCTTGGTCTCATATTGACTTTCAACATTCAATAACTTTGTTAAAAAAGCTTTTATTAAAACACAAATTATAACAACAGGCAGAGATAAATTTTCTATGTTTTATGATTATAATCACAGATCAATTCAACTTCTTTGTGAAATATAATCTGTATTAAAAAGTTTATGTGGTACTAAGATACCAATGTTGATATTTTAATTAAGAAGTAAATTAAAACGTGAAATTAAAAAATATTATAGAAAGTTATAAAAAATTTTAAAGATTTAGATGAACAAGAAACAGCTTCAAGTAAAAATTAAAAATTTAAAACATATGTAATAGAAATATTGTACATTTTACTTGCATATGAACATACTGGTAGAAATTTTTAATCAATTAATAACAAACCACTTAGAATTAAATATAAAATATCATTGACAAACAACGACGTACGAGAACAAATTTTGACGATGAATAATTGACAATAGCAGTGGAAAAAGAATTGCGGGAAAAATCTAATGAACAATATGGAAGAGCCGGTAAAGATGCAAAGGCTTTGTTAAGGTGTATTTGAACAAATTATATGATCTGTTTATTACATAAAGCAACGCGAACACAGCAGCTACGAAAAACGGAAGACTGGAGGTCATGAAGAGGAACAAAGTAAGCTGACAAGCATCGAGTGTTAAAAAATAGTATGTAGGTAAATAATAAGTAATCTTTAATAGCGAAGATGGGCAAAGAATACAAAAAAAGATGAAATAGTAAAATAAGCAAGAAAAATACAGATGCGGCGTGAGCAAAGGAGACTATTAAGTAGAGCGGAGATAGCCTGAAAATGCATAAAAACGTGGTAATTAGAAGCGCACGCTTGAACCATGTGGTCGGAGTTGGAGGTTATGTCAGCCGGAGGCACACGCTACACAGCCTGCACACGAGTATATATCACAGATACGTCGAAAATCGGGGGAGCCAAGTGCCGACTCTTCTCGCATATGTGTATATACGTGTATACTTATATACCTGCGTAATGTGTGGCAGCCGGAACAAAATAGTTAATAACCGAAACTCACTAAGCAGCACACTGTGATTGTAACTTATTTTCACGTTTGTCGCGTGTTAATATTTCTAGCGAACCACGCACACTTGACCGCACTCTGAACAGCCCCAAAGACTGAACTGAACTGAGACTAACTGAAAGAAGCAAGAATTATACATATAGGTATAATAGTAACTACCGAGAGAGCACGGCACCCACGGTTCTTACACGCAAGCGTATAGCCATTCACACACACACACGCCCACACCAGTAGTACACAGACGCGCTCGGAACTATTGGACTTGGAAACGCGAAGACTGAGTTACTGTTTACTGTATGCGGATTCTCAGTATTGCTGTATTTTAAACATACAAAATATACCTATAGTACATACAACACGTAGACGTGTGTCTATGCGATATGCATACCTATGAACTAATACAGGTATCGTTATTTATAATTTTTATCGGCATACGTCAAGTTTGTAAACAAAAATAATGAGACAATTGCGAAGACAAATGACAGTGCTGTTCGGAAGCACGCGTGTACAAAGAAACTGGTGAGTAGAGGGAAGATTTCTAACTATAAGGACACTTAGTTATTTGTGTCCCTCGGGCGAACCAATCACTATCAGTATAGCATGGGGAGGATGTTTTTAGCTGGATAGTATATAAGATCGAGGTAGTGAGCGAAGCAAACGCTGATAGTGAGGTATTATGACATACGTTACAAAAATATCATATTGTTGCTAACACGTGTTCCACCTGGTATCCCGATATACCAAGCGACAATACGACTGCCTTCGACTACATATAGCTTATCAACAGCTATTCCTTTCAGTACTTCCCTAGCTGTATTAGTTATTATTTATGCGTTCGATTCGCTCGCTGCCTGGGTCTTATACGTGATTGAAAAGTTGACTGCAGCGCCCAATGGTTTTAGATAGTAGCGAAATTTAGAAGCTGCGTAAAACAGAAATTTCTGTTTTACATCCACTATTTTCCCATGCTAAGTAACTGGGTTGCGCTTCCTCGATTTTGTTGCCATCGCGAATACTATTCTTATTACATACATGCATATCCCCCTGCCGTATGCGTGCTTTTGTGGGTTAAGGCACTTAATAGTTATTTATGCGTCAGCAGCGTATCAAGTGCCATTACACCAGAGTAGAAAATGTTTTCAACGCGGGATAATATAAGAGAGCCGAGACAGTGAGCGCCGAAGCTTTTATATCCCGTGATACAAACATTTTCTTCTCCGGTATGAAGGCGCTCGATACGCTTGATGTAAGACAATCAGCGCTGCGTTTTTGTGCAAATCATAAGTAATTTGAATGTAATTCAGTTTTAAGTTATGTTTAGTAAACTTTGATATTTTAGTCTTACTAACAGAACTATGGTAAAAGTTAAAGTAAGTTAAAGTATACTTGGAAAAAATAAGTTTACTGTTTGTTGAAGAACATTGATTATATTCACAACTTTGAATAATATAAAGTAATAAATAACTATAAAATATGCGCCTTGTTTGTCACAAGCAACCTCTTTGGTTATTGAGTGTCAACTGTACGAGAATCCGAACACGGTCTTGTTTAGGCTTAAAAATTTTTTAAACACTGTCGCCGAGCCAAGTACGGTTACGGCCGAGGGTTATGTTTGTATCGCGAGATTATAACAGCTTCGGCGCTCGCTCCACTTGCTGACTCCAGCTCTTCTACTATACCGCGCTACTAGCATATTACCTCGGCCGTGACAGCGCTTGTTCTGCCTATAGTAAATAAATAGTGTGATATGACACATGGCCAGAAAGTTGGATTTTTTCAGCATTCTGGCCAAGTGTCGTGTACTATAATTTTTCTAGCTCCCGATCCGAAAGTACGTCAAATAATTGATATTTTTAAAATTAAGCAAATTAATTTCTTTTTTTGTGGTTTGTCTCAAAGGGCTACAGCCGGAGAGCTTGCATAACGCGTCGACCAGTCAGTCAGCTGATTGATTGATGTTTTCATTGATTCCCGACATTTGTAAAACTGAGGTAAAGTCGAGGTTTTTTAGGTTGAAGCGAGCATAAAAAATAGTAGACCAAAGTAGTTATAAAAGTAGATTATAAATAAAATCAAAATGAGTTTTCATTAAGAACCAACATGTACAGAAAATAATGCAAATAATTTTATGTGAAATTTTTTTTTAACATTTACCCTAATTTTATTTATCACATTTGCAAGCAGTACCCGAATAACACAAAAACGTTTTTCGGAAAACTTCAAAAAGTTTTTGAAACGTACGATAAGTTCACCTATTTTTTAATTTTCAGAGTGTGCTAACATTTGTAAAACGTTTTGAAAACGGTTTTATCAATAAAATTTTTTGCAGCCTGGAAATCCAAAAGTTTGTAAAGCGTTTTCAAAACGTTTTCAAAAAATATATAATTCAGATGTTCGATAAAGCTTGTATTTTTTTTTATCCTCAGAAGGGAAACATTCAAAAAGGCATGATAATGGAAGTGCGAGTAGTGTTGAGTTAATTCGAATACACGTATCATTGACCATCTAGTGTAATTATAGATAGCTTAGATCTTCATCTTAACCTATATGCTCGAAAATCTTGACGTAATTACTACTGAATCATATTTGTGAAAAAGGTATTAACTACTATAAAGATGGTAAGTCGTGTAAATTCCAACAATAGGTCATCTAGCGATAGCTGATAAAAATAAAATAGATTTTTCTATTCAAATTAATAGTTCATTTTAAGCTACTAGATGGCCTCTTACTGGTTTTTATGCAGTCATCCAGCAAACTTATCACTTTTACAATACTTAATACTAATCAGTTTGTACAAGTGTTATTTACTGATTTATAGCTTTAGCTACGCTGATAAACGAAAAATAGAGGTTTTAATCGGTCAAATAAACAATTTTATGAATGTTCAGATCCAACATTTTTCAAACGACCATATCTTCGTTGAAAAAATTATAAAATTAATTTTGAATAGTGCTTTTTGTAGCCCAAGGGCTGCTCTTTTATGAACTGTGGTCAGAATTCCGCAGAAAAATCCTTCGTCGTGTTACAGGTGGTTAAATATAGCAAAAAAGCGTGTTTTTGACGCTTTTAGGTTCAGATATCTAGAAAACCAAGGGTGATAGAGCAATTTTGAACCCAGACTCGGAATCAGCGAAAATCTATAAAGTATACTGTGTATACTAAAAATATCGCCCGGTCAGATTTTTAGTGATATAATGTTTTCAATACGTTTCAAAAATGCAGTTTTATTTGAGTATAAACAAATATTATAAACGCATCTGTCGTTTCTAAAACGTTTATTCTATCAAAATTTCACAATGTTTCTGAGTTTGGCAGAAAATGTTTTGAAAACGTTTTGTTCTATCCGGGTAATATTAAAAACACAATTAATAAATATGCAGTTTTCAAATTAAAAATGTTTATTGAAAACAGAATATGCCACGTCATTTGTAACTTAATTTTGAAGTCCGACAAAATCTTCTAAATGATTTCTTTTTTTATTCAAAAGCATCTGGACAGTTGGTTGATTATTGAAATTCAGCTTAATGGGTGGTTTTGAATGAAATAATTTATTATTAATGTGAGTAGATAACTCAGCTCTATCATTTGATGGTGTTAGTATTTTACGTATAGTTGAGTCAATAAGAGTTCGTGTAAAATCACCCGAAAAGTCTCACGAATCTAAATTGTATAGGCTGATTCAATATTTTCTTGTAGAGGAGTTTGCTCTCTACTCGTAGATGGTTTTGGGTCAGTACTGGTTTATTTATGTCCATGAATAATACCTTCATAAATCAATTTTCTGCCGCATACAGAATTTTCGATCTAGCTTCCGCTACAATGTTTGAACGCGATGTCCTTAACTATTTTATCATTTGCATGTTGGTACCACATTCAGAGGGGAGTGCTGATGCAGTTCTGCGAAAGCAGTGATCGGTATATTTTTTTTGGATTATTCCATTGCAAATAAGTAACAAAATTCACTGTCATTTCTCCTATCTTGTATCTGCCAATAGGTTGTCGAGTATATTTGCCATTATGGTACTGAAAAAAAATTTGTCGCTAAATTTATCAGGAGATCTCAATTGAATGTATTCTGAACTTTGTTGCATAAAAACTTTCCAATCACAAACTGGCCAGGATACTCGTTATTGTTATATTGAATTGATACGAAAAATCTACTGCAATCTATATCTTCTACATCAGTGGTTTTCATCTTCGTAATCTCGTCAGAACACAACGCACCACAAATTCAAAATACATGTATTATACTCGTATGTAAGCACACACAATAAGAATTCAGTTGAACTGAAAAAAGGATATAGAGTATTATTGATAATTATAACCTTCATTGATAAGTAAACTTAATCTGAAGCTTCCGTCATGAATTTCATTATTTTATCTCATTTCAAAACACTTGACTTTTTAAGCTTGTAACCTTTAGCATTATTTTTTATTAAACTGTTCAAATTTAAGAAATAACTGATATCAATATCGTCTTTGATACTCAGTCTTTCTTCACATACTCCAAGCACTTCATAGTGGAAGAATTTTTAATTTTGTTTTTAAGCCATTAAAATAAACAATTAAGTTTATTTCATGAAAATTTAAAGTAATTTTTGTTGTCCTCTAACTACTTCTTGTAAGTGTTGTTTACTAGTAAATACTTCTCGGAAGACTTTTTTGGCAATGTACTACTTTCCACAATTTGTTGTGCTACTCGATCAAAATTCTTCATCAATTTTTATTAATCCCCGAATCCCCAAACCGTCAGACAAGTCCTCATCTATTTTATCTGATATCTTAGCCATTTTTTGAAGAACTAGAAAATTGCACTAAGGTCAGGACTTGCGCGAGCAGAAAGGCAGTTCAAAGCATTAACCATGAATATTAGTATTTATTTACGCAGTATCCGTGGGAATAAAACACGAAAATTTGCTACTTTCTGGAGCATACAAAAGTGCAGTAATATACAAAAGTCGCTCTTTCTGGAGCGAAATCAAGCCATGAACGACGTACTTTCAGGTCGAGGAGTAAGAAATACCGTCCTAGCTAATCAGGTTTTTACGAGAACGCTCCTTGTGTAATGGGTCGCTTACATGCGAAAACCACCTTAGCAGTGCCTCAGCTTGTTTTTCGGCTATTACAACCCAGGAGGCAAGACAAGGGGTGACTCCTGAGTTAT